TAAGGTTGACTTTTTTAGTGGCATGTAATTATTAATGTTCTATTTGCTTTGTTGAACAAATTTGGAAACAAAATGGTAACTTTATAGTGGTGAAAGGTTAAGTTTTTATGAGTTTTATATATTTTGCTGAAATTACTGTAGCAGTTACTGTAGTAGTGCATCGATACACATTTTAAATTCGAAGTTTTTGTACATCGGTATACTATTCACGTACTGTAGCAGTGCATCGGTACATTGTTTACTGTTCACGGTACTGTTCATCATTGTTCACAGTACTATTCATAAAAAAATCTTTTGCCTTAAATTTGTTATAACGAAACATAATTCATATGATATGATATTTTTATAATATCATTTACCATTTTAAGAAAATAAATTTTAAATCACTTTTGAATTGGAAATGGTTTTCGAAATTTGGGTGACATCTATAATATGTATAGGTATAATTATACTGGTTATGAGTGTTACATTGATCTTGACACTTGTCAAATAGCTATAATTTATTATAGGATTAAAAGTGTAATTAATTCTTTGATATTCCAATGAACTCTTGTTTTATGATTTGTGTCAATTGTGAAACCTAGAAAGGGGCAATATTTTTTTCAAAATCTTTGATTAAACATTTTTCAAAATTCTTTTAATTGATATTTTTTAAAATTTTGAAATAAAAAGAATAAGAAAAACATTTTCAAACAAAACAATCTCTCTAGAGTGGATCTTGGTAGTTGACACGTGGCTCTCAAACACAAAGCTCATGCTTAGAATGTTGAAGCAAGAAATGATGAATGTTGGGGCATTTTTGGAGGCTCGTATCATCCAAGAGTACAACATCATTGAATTGAGCAGGCATCAATGAGTCAGAAAAATGTGAGAATAATGAAAATGGTGAAGCAGAGACAGTGGAGCTTATTATATGACTGTGTTGTCAATTGTCACAACATACAGTTGGATTGTTATGGTGATTTCCCATGCATTAATGCTAGCAAGCCAAAGCGTTCTACTTATATTCCTACTGTGATTTGTTCTTTGATGTCCATACAAAGAGCTTCCCTGGGTGAAAATTCTAGACAGAAGCCACAAGAAATGATGAATAAGTTACCGTTGTCTGATTAGCTCCCTGTATGTTTGTATTCACGTGTTTCGATCCCAATATTGCTTGTTTGTCGTATATTAGTACCCAATTTAGCATGTATTATATTTTATTGTAAACATTGCTATGTATGTGATTTCATATTAAATATTTATACCTGTATATCTACATATTTATTTTTTAGTATTGTATATTTATGTATTTTCTTTTGAATGCTTATTTATTTAAGAATTTGTTATAATAGAATATTTTCAAGAACACTAATTTTTAGAATGGGCTTGGAAAGTGTTGCTTGATCGAAGTAGTACAATCCGATACGATATTCGAACGAAATGTGAACTTGAAATAAATTGAAGTTATTTTTTAAGTGCTAATTAATTTGTTTTAATTCATATGATGCGATGTATGTTTTTTTAATAGTAAGTTATTTCATACTATTATTAATATTCACTTTATATTCGAGTTGCGTTTTTTTGATAATGTTGAGAGGGAGGATATTTCTTGTATAAAGGAGAAATGACGAGATAGCCTTCCCATTGGAGGATGTGCAAATCTTGTGATTTCTTCTCGAATTAAGGAACGGTCCCTAATAATTAATTCGAAACAAACTAATTAAACTTTAATAAATGGATCATATTTTAACTCTATATTCGATTTATAATTTCCAACACCATTACGACAACGTGTAAGCGATTAAGTACAAATTTTTGGGCGCTGTGGGGTGCTTATCATTCTCTATATGTAATCGACTCCCGGACTCGTTAAATTGAATCTTTGATATTGCAGACCGATGTTTTTCTAAAAATGATTTTTCTTAAAATTGTTTTAAAAGACGTTTTTAGTTATTCGGCATACCTAACCCAAAGGTCGATGGCGACTCCAATTTAAAATTTATCAAATTAATTCAAAATCACCAATTTTTTTTAATAAAGTCATAATTGTTTATTAACTTAATTGTTTTATAAAAAAATGGTTATGACAAGACTTATGTAGCAAGAGTTTTATGATATGAAATGTTTTCTTTTATGAAATGGTAGCTGTTCGTTTCAATAATCGTCTTTTGGGGTACAAACTTGAAAGAAAATAAGAAGTTTCCATTCGAAGGGCAATTGGTATTGTTCAAATCTGAGTTAACTTTGGAACCTGATGGAGATAGGTCATTTGAAATTTAAACACAGCCAAAAGGTTCTACTTGGTGTAAATTCTACGCTTTTTGTCATCTCTATCAGACTTTAATTTCTGTTCTTTTTTCAGATTCGGTCCAATAAGATCAGAAGCATTAATACATTTAATCACATGTGTAGTTCCATTGCAAGAGAATACATACGTACGTACATACATACATACATATGAGTGTTTGTGTGTGTATAAGCAAGCACAAACCAATTGTTTTATCTGAATCAATATAAATCTAGCCTTAGAATGCAGCTATTTTTTTTCTAATAGGAGAATCATAAAAGATTGTCAAAGATAAATGCAAATGAAGACAACTAGGAGTTGATGTGTGCCTATATATAGGCAGGATCTGTTCACATCGTGTAAAACTTTTTAGTTTTACATCTTTTTAGGATTGTTGAATGAGTGAAAATAGATGATTGAGATTAAAAATAAGAAATAAAAAGATATTCCATTGGGAAAAAAATGAGATGATCTCAGTCGTCTATTTTTGCTCATCCAACGATCCTAACAATGTATAAAACTAAAAGTTTTACCTTAGGTGTAAGTGAATCCTTGTAAGGTTTGCAAATGTCAACTAGTTCAATGAACTGTCTCAACAAATTTGTTGCAGTTAGGGTGTGGAACATTTATGAGGGACTTCATATGTAACAACATCTTAATAGGTTCCAGTTCCAACCAATGCAAGTAGTACGGAAGGCTAGTAATCGATATCAATGTTTTTTTTTTGTTGGATTAATGCCTTAGATATATGTGTTTTATGTTGCGATTTAGTTAATGTTTGTGGCATGAATCAAGCTACCTTAGTGGTTAAGAGATTATTGTTCTCTCTTGAGGTTTTAGGTTCGAGCACCATCTATGTCGTGAGTTATGAACATTCATTATCAAATGACTGAGACTCTTAGAACATATATATTATCTTGTATTTACCCCATATTATTCTTAACTATAACAAAAGGAAAATGTATTATGAAAACCATTGAATTATAAAAATGTATAATATGTTAACTATGTCTAATATTTTACTAATAAAAGGCTTCACTTAATTCACAAAACAGGAAAACAGTTTTCTTTCCTCTACACCATATGGATGGGTGGCTAAGGTATTATGAAGAATGGTCAATGTGATTCCCAAGAGAGGCAAACAAGTCCTTGTCTGTTGATTCCAATTAAGAGATGAAAACAGTCGATTTGTTGAGGTTAAGAAAATCTGAATCGAGGCTTCTTGGATTAAACCAAGACCATTAAGTATAGAATTGGTGTTCATGGCATTTGTCGTGGACAAAAGTAGATGGTCGTTAACAAATAAAAGATGAGATAAACGATGACATCTCTTATTAATATGATTTCTAGAATCAAATAATCATATATTTTAAATTATTTTCTTTATTAATAGTATGTTTTTATCACCTAAAATTTTATAAATTTACCTCTTAATTTTTTTTAAGTTTACCCTCCTAAAATAAAATCCTATTTTCGCTCCTGATAAAGGATATCGCTAAAGTCACATAGGTGTATGGCCCCCTCGGCCCACTTACACCTGTGGCGGTACACTTATTATTTTGAGAAAAATGTTAAATTTAGTTTGATTTGCTAATGGGAATAGAGAAACAGTAAGAAAAGTTGCATACCTAAATTTTTTAGAATAGAGTGCATACCAAAATATTTTAGAATAGAGTATTAAAATTTTGGACCCTCATTTTTTAATTTCTAGATCCGCCACTGACTTACACTAGTTTTGAATATATCATAAAATATTATTTGTCAAAATGGTGTCCAACATATTTTAAGCAATATTAGGAGGGAAGATCAAGGATTTGAATCTGACTTGTAACTCAAAACTATATTTTTATTAAAGTATGGGTCTCCTTAGCTCTAAAAACCTAGCATCGTCTCTAGGTATAGTGATAAAAGGATCAATCTGACGGAGTTTGTGCTTCATTTGATATTACCTCCATTAACAATGATAAAGAGAGAACGCATTATTCCATAACACGAGGAATCCCTAAACCCCATTTTTTGGTTATATTTTCAATTAAATATCATTGAAACATTATAGTAAGTTTTAGTAAGGTCGACGTGGTCCATTTTCACTCTTATTCTGATCATGAAACGTTTATTGGGAAAACGGAATGCGAACTTAGTCGGAAAGATAATAATAGGCATGAGAAGCTTTATTTTAGAAATTATGATTTTGCAGACGATGTTGCAACCCTAAAATATGGGTCAAAGTTCAAGTGAATTCAGCTCAAAGGGCTTTAGTTCTTTCGAAAATTTGGGAATAAATTAAAATAGATAGCGTCAATTTAAATTTTTTTTCGTTAGATTTGTTTAACGAAGTTAGTATACAGTGACTTAAAATTTTATAATCTTAATGGAAGTTGAAAATAAGTTCGATGACCTAAAATGTAAATTGCCCAAAATATAATATATGCTTTTAAATGAATTTTGTCTTTTCTATCTGTTTCATAATTAACCCAAATTACAAAAAATGATTCATGGTTCCCCGATAATGGCAGATCATGCAGTTACAAAGGCTTTCTGTGTGATTTCAAATCTTTATGTGGCTATCAGCAACTCTGTCTCTCTGCTCATAAGTTGTCAGCCTCAACATACAAAACAAAACACTCGTATTTGACACAAACATCATTGGAAAGTAAAACAAATAAATAACTCATCTTCTACCCATCAACTCCCCTCCCTTTTCCCTTCCACTCGCCGTCGCTGTTCAGTGATTCCAAGTCCTTGCAATCATTTGTTCAACATATTCATCAGCTTTCATAAGCTGTTACTGATCCATTTTACGTTCAGCTTCCTCTTTGGTTTCATCACCGGAAAGCCCTTCATGAGGCGGAGAATCTGATACAAAATGAGCATCATCTTTCTTATCGAGTATCTCCTTTAGCTTTTCATCATCCTCTACCACATCCACCGACTCTTCAGCATCTTCATTATGTCCAGGTTCAGTTGATGCCACCCGGTTGTCCCTTCTTTGCTCATGCTCTTCTATCTCTGCAGATAATTCTTTCACCTCTTCAACTTGAAGATTGGGAGACGTCTTCTCCCTGTCGTTAGTCAGACCACCTATGTTTTCCGATCTAGATTGTAGTCCCCCTTCTCCTTCTTGATTTTCATGAGGGTCGGTAGCAGGCGTTGATAGAGAATGGAGTGATTCTGTTTCAACCTCTGAATGCTCCGTATTAGCAATATCTATTCTATGGTGATCTTCTGAAGACGAATATTGTTGAATGTCATCAGTAATGGTTGAAGAGATGGCCTCATCAGGGTCTGATTCTTTAACAGTATTCTTAACTGCGGAATCAGTTTCAGCTGCTGCAGGGTTTGAGGCTGGAAAAGATTGGAAGGCATCCCAATCATCTTCATCTTCTTCCATGTCATCATCAGTGGTGCCCATACTGGTGGCTGATGACAGGGCATTGTCCTCTCTTCTCCCTTCCACTGGAACTGGTAGTTTAATCTCTAATGGCTGTGCTACATATTTCGTTTCTGCAACACTGTGGTCCGGTGTTACTGAAGCACGAATAACACCCTGAAACAATAATGGTTGTCATTATTTCTGAACAATGCAGCAGAAGATTGAAAAATCAAACAAAACTTTAGGGCAACAAAGACTTTCATTGCATATTTCTGTCCACAATGTAATTTAGACATGAGGTAATTCTTTAAAATTGAGAATCCATTGCCCTATTAGTTCTAGTTGCATACACGTTTAGGATTCTTTGTTTTCATGAAACATGTTTAGGATGAATGTTAATGATGAATAATAATCCAATCTCATCCAAGGTACTTTTTTGACATGGGAGAGTAAGAGAGAGCGATTGAGAAGTCGAAAAGTCTTCCTCCGGTGAGGAATGGACAATTTTGGTGGATAATCTGAGTAAGAGAGTGTCAAGGAGAGCGTTAAGGTTGCTCTTTCATTATCAGGGTACAATTATCAGAGTTTTCATCCCGAGTATTATCAGCAAACCAAAGTACAAAGCATCCACTTCTGCCTTTGTCCAGTTCACTAATGAAAATGGTCTGAGGAATGCTATTGAGAATGTCAATGGAACGTGGATTGATGGCAGGAGAGTATCAGTAGGGATTGTTAAATAGCTCTCTTCAGGGAAGGTACCATCAGTGGCAAAAAAACAATCTGAAGGTGAGAAGAGGAAAACCAGAGAAGGAGATGAGTCTCCGAGCAGCTTAAGGGATGATAGATCCTATAAGGAAGCATTGATTTCAAACAAGAGGAAGAAGGAAGATCTTAAAACGTTGGTGAACTGGGGGGGAACAACGCTTGAGGAAACTGGGAAGAGGAATCTGTGGGAGATGCGGATCCCTTCCGACGAGACGGATTGGATGAAGAGTTCTTTGATAGGGGTTATCAAATCGTCCTTTGAGATGGAGCTAGTTCAAAAGGCCTTACTCAGTGACGGAATCAAGGCGAAGATTACTAGCTGGGGTTATGCATGGAATTCATGTATCATCACTTTCCAGTCGGCTGAAGCGTTTTTGGAGGTGTGGAACAAGAAGAAGGATGAACTGTCGTTCTGGTTTGATTGGCTGGCACCTCTTCTCAATGAAGATGGTATTCCGATGGCCTACTGTTTGATTGAGTTATATGTAGTACCTTTGTTATGTTGGAATGAGGCCTTCTTAGAGAAACTGGTTGGAAGGTGAGGGTCGCTGGTCAGCATTCAGGAATCGACCAAAAATAAAGATGATTTATCAGTGGCCAGGGTGTTGGTGAGAGTGGCGATCCCATTCGATGTCCCAAGGATGATTACTTTAGGCTCTTATGGAAGATCATTCAAGGTAAGAATAATGTTGGGATCGATGTTCAAGAAGCCAAGTGATTTCCTCGGTAAGGCATCGGAAGGTTTTCCAGAGGAAGATTGGAATGATGGGTCGTCGTCGGAGGACCAGGACAATGGTCGGAACGTGGTGTGTGAAGCGGTAGATAAACAGTCATTTGAGGCGGCCCTAAACAGGGTGGACACGTAGTTTGAAGAGGGGAGAACAGTTGGCATTGAAGAGGGTGTTGAGCGAATTTAATGGGGGGGGGGGGAACATAAATTCTCGATATTGGGAGTGAATTTAATGGGGAGTACGAGGGGCTTGGTGTGAGGAAAATTTGGAACCCAACTTCTAGTGATCAAGCCCTTTCTGAAGAATCAAATGATCCCACTTCTCCCATTCGCAGGATTCACCCTTCAAGGCCCGCTATAAATATAGCTCCTTATGGGTATGGTAAGGAAAGTGGAAAGTGGGCCCTCCCTCAACTGGGTCTGGAGAAGAAGGGAATTAAGGAAGTCGAGAACAAGGCTGATAACCCGTTAAGTAGTGGTGGAGCGGTCTTAAATAATATTGGGGTTCTGTAAGGAGGTGGAGCTGATCCAGACGGTGCTATAAATAGTCCGCAATCCAAGGATTTAATCAGAACGAGGTCTTCATCCCCTTTCTCAAGTCGCAAATCTGCAAGAAGTGATTTTGTTTGCAGGTCCGAGATGGTTTTCTTTGATAGAGTTTACGGTAGGTCAAATAAGAAAAAGAAGAGAGAGGTGGTGGAAGTGGGAGGTTCTCTGGTGCAATTTCTCGATGTGGACAAGGAGCTAAATTCCACCTGGCAGGTTAGTAATAAGGTGGGCATTACCTTCCAGGGTGGGAAAAATGTTTTTGCTAAGAAGTTTATAGAGTTGAGTAAAAACAGGGTTATGGAGGTTGGGAATTAATTCCCCAACTCTGTAATAGGTGTTAAATTCTTTTCTCATGTTAAGATTTTCTTGTGCATCTTGGAACATAAGGGGTTTAGGGATGAAGGAGAAGGTTAGGGCTGTGAGAAGTTTGGTAGTTAGCAGGAAGCTTTCTTTTTTATTTTTGCAAGAAACCAAGTTGGAAGTGGTGAGTCCATCTATGTTGAGGAAGTTAGAAGGGAGGAATCTTTGGGGTTTTGCTGCATCACCTTTAGAAGGGGCTGCTGGAGGAATTTTGAGTATGTGGGATGAAAATTGGTTTGAGTTGCAGGAGCAGATTATTAGCAGACAATTTGTGGCAATTAAAGTAAAGTTCAAAGACAGTCATGAGGCTTGTTGCTTAGTCAATGTGTATGGTCATGTTGATTCGGAGGAGGAGGTCTTCTTTGAGGAACTTCTTAATTTTATAGGGAAAGTGGATTGCTCCTTGTGTGGGGGGGGGGTGATTTTAATTCGTATTTGTATCAGGAAGAGAAAGATGGAAAAACTCAGAACGTGTATTCAATGAATTTACTCAAGGAATTTGTTTCTCAAGCCAAGTTGGTGGATTTACCTTTAGCAGGAGGAAGCTTCACGTGGAGCAATAATAGGGAAGTACCTTCCTTTGTCAGGCTTGATCGGTTTTTGGTTAATTCCAAATTTATGGGGATTTTTTTCAGACATTGTTCAAATTTTACTCCCTAAGTCGTCGTCGGATCACAATGCAATTTTATTGGAAAGGTGTGAGGTTAATTGGGGTTCAAAACCTTTCAAACTGTTTAATTACCAGATGGAGGGATTTCAAGACATGATGGAATCAACGATCAACGAGGTAAAGAAAGACAAGAGGAGGGGAACTATGAATATTATTAAGGGAGCAAAAATCGCTATTAAAAGATGGTCCAATAACAGTGACCTGAAGTTGTCGAGATCAATTCTGAATTTAGAAAAATCTATTTTCGAAATGGAGTCAGCATTACAACAGGGGCTGCTTCAGTGTCAATGGATTCCATTGTGAAAGCGAAAAAGGATTTGTGGGAGTTGTATAAAAAAGATGAACAAATATGGATTCAAGATGGTGACCGAAACTCAAGATATTTTCACCAATGTGCTGCTACTAATAGGGAAAGGGTAAATGCTCTGAAGTTTTTGAAAGTGGTTGGCAGAATTGTTTCGGATCCAGATCAGATTAAATTGGGTGTTCTTGGGTATTTGAAGGAGGCATATAACTTGAAGCCAACTTTAGAAGTATAAGATATGGACCTGGATTTTGCTAAGCTAACGAAGGATCATGTTTCGTTTTTGGAGGAGTTTTTCGGAGGAGGCAATTGCCTCTTCTGATAGCAATAAGGTGCCTGGCCCGGATGGTTTGAACATGGGTTTTTTAAATGATTATGGTCGTCTTTAAAGGAGCACATATTAGAGTTTTTTTAATGATTTTATTTGGGAAAGAAGTGGGATAAAGTTGTGAATCATTCATTTATCACACTAATTCCGAAGAAATCCAATCTGATTGGCCTGGAGGATTTTAAGCCCATTAGCTTGGTTGGAGGATTATACAAGATCTTGTCTAAGGTGTTGGAGAGTTGCTACATTTAATGCTCTCTAAAGCAGTTGATAAGGGTTTATTTCAAGGCTTTGTTATTGGGAAACCTGAAAATTCTACTAGACTGTCTCATCTTCAGTTTGCGGATGATTTAATCATATTTTGCCAATCCTCTCTTCCTCAGATCAAGAATGTTAAAAGAGTGTTGAGAATTTTTAGTATGATGGCGGGTATGCATCTTAATTTGGCGAAGAGCAAGCTACTGGGAATTAATATGGAAGAGGAAGTTTTAACAGATTGGGCATCACAAATTGGCTGTTCAGTAGGTTCTTTTCCAACAGAATATTTGGGACTTTCATTGGGAGCTAAGAAAAACTCGGAGACTTTATGGGATCCAGTTTTTCGAAATCTCAGTGCCAAGCTTGCTGAGTGGAAAGCTACATGTTTGTCATTGGCTGGTAGGACAGTCTTATTGAAATCGGTGCTAACTTCTTTACCAATTTTTTTTCTTATCATTGTTCAAAATGCCTAACAAAATCGGTAATAAGTTAAATTCGTTAATGGCCAATTTCTTATGGGGTGATAAAGAGGGAAAGAGGAGAATTCATTGGGTAAACTGGAGCACGATTTGCAAGCCTCTTAATTGTGGTGGTCTTGGTGTTCTAGATTTGAATCTCACCAATCGGGCACTTCTGGGCAAGTGGGTGTGGAAATTTGCCAATGATAAAAGTTCCCTATGAAAATGTGTGTTGAGCAGCAAACACAAGGTTAGTTGTAAGTCAATGTCTATTAGGGAGGTTTCTCATCCACAATCTTCTTGGATTTTGAGAGGTATTGCTAACAATTACTTGAAGAATGATTCGGAAGGAATTAGTCTGAGATCAAATTCGAAACTGATAGTGGGAAATGGAGAATCCATCTTTTTTTGGAATGATATTTGAGCCGATGAGAGTCCTCTCAAATTTTTTGGAATGATATTCGGAAGAAAAACTCAAATGTCTATTAGGGTGTGGAAATTTCTTTTTTTGGAATGATATTTGAAGATGGTCTGTTTTCGACAAAATCATGTAGAAGTTCTCTTGGCCTTGTGTTGGGGAGTAATAATTTGTGGTCAAAAGGGGTTTGGCTGGGATTTGCTCCACCTAGGGTAGAAGCTTTCCTTTGGTAGCTTGCTCATCAAAAAGTAGCAGTCAAAGCTGAGCTGGTTAAGAGAGGTCTACCACTCGGAGATGACATTCTTTGTCCTTTATGTAAGGAAAAAGAGGAATCAGTGCGGCATTTATTTATTTCTTGCGTTGTTGTTTGGGAATTATGGAATAAATTAGCTAGTTTTTGGGATGTATCGCTGGTTTTACCACAAGACCCTCCTTCTATTCTTATTTCCTGGGGTGAGTTGAGGGTGAACTCGACTATTTGGAAATTTATTCCGGGAGTCATCTTGTGGTCTATTTGGAAAGTTAGGACTGCTGTGGTTTTTGAAGGTTCTCCTCTTGACAGATTGTCTTTGTTTTTCATTGTTAGATTCAGGCTTTCTAAATGGTTCCTAGCCAAATTCCCTAAGATTTCCATTCATGAGGATGTGCTGATTGGTAATCCATCTCTGGCAGATGGAGTTACACCTTCTAAAGACAAAGTTTGTGATGTTTTTAGATGGATTCCCCCTCCGGTCGATTTCCTTAAATTGAATGTCGATGGAGCTGTCAGATTAGATGGTTCGGGTGGAGGAATTGGAGGTATTTTAAGAGATTGGAATGGTTGTACCCTTTTGACTTTTTCAGAGAATGTTGGCGTAGGAACTCCTCCACTTGCTGAATTAAAGGCTATTAAAAGAGGCATTGAAATATTTTTGTCATCTAGTTGGGAATCTATTGGTAGGTTGATCGTTGAAAGTGATTGCTCTTCTGCAGTGGAGTGGATTCATTCCCCGGTTTTGGCTCCTGTCTTCTTCTCTCCTCTAGTTTATCAGATTTCGACTCTTATCACTGGCAAGGTTCATTCGGTGAGGTTGATTCCAAGGTCGTGCAATAGGGAGGCGGATAGTCTAGCTAAGAAAGGGATAGGTTGATTGTAAGGTTTATAATGTGGTTTTTATGTTTTCAGTGAGTAGTTTGTTTCTGCCAGGAGGAGTGGCTTTGTTTTATGGATAGTTTTGTAGTGTAATTGTTAAATCTTATGTAAATGTTCTACTTTAATAAAAGTTCTAAAGCACTCTTTTCCTCCTTCCGCTGATTAAGGAGCTTTATTTCAAGCTCCTTTAATCAAGAGGGGGGTTTTTAACGAGGCCTGCCATTCTTATCAAAAAAAGGGCATTGATTATTGGAGGAGGAAGGGGTTCAAAGGTATTGCTTTTAAAGTGTATTTTAGGGGAGCATACGATTCAGTAGATTGTCGATCTTGATGAAAATTATGGAATATATGGAGTTCGGACAGAGATGGCGATCTTGGATTCTAACGTGTTTATCTTCAGCCTCTATCTCGGTATTGGTAAATGGTTCTCCCACAGAGAATTTCAAGATATCGAGGGGGCTTCGACAAGGCTGCTCTTTATCTCCGTTGTTATTTCATTTAGTGGGAGATATGTTAAATCTTTTGTTGTCCAAGGTAGTTAAGTTGGGTCTTTTTAATGGTTTTTGAATCGGTTGCTCGAATAGAACTTTTCTGTTATCTCATTTGCAATTCGTTGACGACTTGTTAAATTTTTGTAATGCATCAGAAGGTCAACTGAGGAATGTTAAAAGAGTTTTGCTCATTTTAGAAATGTGCTCGGGGCTTCAGTTAAATCTATCCAAGAGCAAGATATTTGAGATTAATTTGGAAGAATCAATTATCAAGGATTGGGCAGCATCGATTAGTTGCACAGTTGGGGTTCTTCCGTTTGAGTATTTGGGGCTTCCTCTCGGTTCTAGGAGGAACTCGGCAGTCTTGTGGGAACCGATTCTTCAGAAAATTTTCCCAAAGTTGGCTGGTTGGAAAGCAACCACGCTATCGCTTGCTGGTAGGGTTGTGCTTGTGAAGACTGTTTTGAATGCATTGTCGATATACTACATGTCATTGTTTAGGATGCCTTGTAGTGTCCAGAGGAAGTTGGAGTCAATTCTGGCCAATTTTGTATGGGGAAGCTCAACTCAGAAAAATCGTATCCATTGGGTTAAATGGTCGATTGTATGCAAACAGAAAGATTTTAGAGGTTTGGGTATCATCGATTTGAATATTATGACTAGAGCTCTACTAGGGAAGTGCGTTTGGAAATTCGGTAGTGTGAGGGGATTCTTGGTGGAAGAGGATGGTGTGTTGCAAGTATAACTTGGACAGTGGATCCATTTTGCTGAATAACGTTTTATCTCCCCAGTCCTCTTGGTTATGGGAGGGAGTGATTAATAATTATTGGTCGAATGATGCGTTTGGCCTATGCTTTCGTAATCATCTTTAATTGCAAGTCGGGAAGGGGAATTCTATTCTTTTTTGGCATGATATTTGGTTGTGTTGTGTTCCTCTGAAGATGAAATTCCCTAGGCTTTTCGCCCATTCGGTTAATAAGGGGTAATTTTGGATTTTGGCTCTTTCGACTCTAGGGCTGGTGCTGGGATATTAAGATGAGGAGAAATCTCTTGGATTGGGAAATTGATTAACGGACCGAGCTGTTGTTGATGTTGGGTAATGTTAGCCTTAGACCAGTCGTTGATGATTGTTGTTTATGGATAGGAAATGGGGAGGGTGTGTACACAGTTAAATCGTGTTTAAATTTAATTTCTTGCTTGTCGGAGCCGGATCCGTCCTTGTCGAAGATGGTATGGATTGGAATTGCCCCTCCTAAAGTGGAGGTGTTTCTTTGGCAGGTTCTTCATCAAAAGATGGCGGTAAAAACTGAGCTAATAAGGCGTGGTGTTAGAGGGGTTGAGGACATTCTTTGCCCGTTGTGTAGTGTGGAACCCGAAATTGTTTCTCATCTTTTCTTTTCGTACAGTAAAGCTTGGGGATTATGGGTGTGTTTTTTGACCTGCTGGAATTTATATACGGTTTTGCACAATAATTTGAAGGTATTTTTAGCCTCTTGGGCTGATTTATTTTCGAAGTGAAAGATCTGGAAAGTCATCTCGGGAGTTGTAGTGTGGTCTTTACGGAAATGTCAGAACCAGTTGGTCTTTGTGAAAGGAAAGCTTGACCAAACCCAGCTGTTTTTCTTAGCTAGATATAGGGTGGCTGCTTGGTTTTCGGCAAAGGTGCCTAATTTCCCCGTCCATCTTGATTGTCTTGTGGGGGATCCAACTCTGGCTAATTCTTGTAAAGTTTTAAGGAAGAATTTGTCTTCTCCGTCCACGTGGAGTCCCCCACCTCCCGATTTTTTTAAAGTTAATGTAGATGGGGCTGTAAGTCGTGATTGGAAGTGCAGTGGAATAGGTTTGTCTTCTTTGGGATGACGAGAGCAGTTTGGTGGGATCATTCTCGGTTGCTTCTGGCCCCGGCCCTCCTATATTAACTGAGTTTAAAGCTATTCAAGCTGGTTTGTCTCTTTTTCTAGAATCGGGGTAGAGTGCTAAGGGTCGTCTTATCTTGGAAAGCGATTCAGTTAATGCGTGTAAGTGGATTATGAATCTGGGAGCGAGTCCAGCTTCTTTTGTTCTTCTGGTTAAGGAAATTGTTGATTGTGTGTTGGATCGTAATGTGATTATTAGGCACATCCAGAGATGTTTCAATTGGGAAGCTGATAGTTTAGCTAAGGCTGGCATAGGGTAATTTGGGTTGCATTTTGTATGTTGGGGAGTTGGTGTGTTTAAATTGAGGGATAGGTTTAGTTTCGTGGGTATTGGTTGAATTCATTTTGGGTTTTAACCATGGTGTAATTTTTCGTAGCAATAAAATTTGGGGCTCCTCCTTCCAACGTCCGTTGGGTTACTTATGTAGCGTGACGGTTATTAAAGGGTTTTCTAACAAGGCCCTTTTACTTATATATAAAAAAAGAATCCATTGCCCTACCATAAACATATAAAGAAAAACTATTGGTAAAACTTGATCTATGTTTCTTAAAGCACAAAAAGTCATCAGGTTCGATCTAACAAGACAGTAAATGAAGTTCACCGAACTTGAAATTTCAGCTAAATGTCAGTGGCCATTTTCCATTTCTTTCAATTGCAATAGACACACTCGTCATTAATGTAGAAGAAAATAGAGAGAAAAACACCTGAAGTTGCTGTCTGTGCATCTCAGGCATCGATAACAAGACATCCTTGAGATGACCAGCAGATGAAGGAATCTGCGCAAGATGAGAAACAAGCCTGATGGCAGTGTTTCTTATGTCATTGACTTCCTGCCAGTATAATCATAAACAAAAGATTGTTTAAAACAACAATGGAAATACTTGTTCTATTTTCAAGTGATGAAGCAGCTTGAACAACTTACCTGAGAACGACCATCTGCTGATGCCGAGAAGACCATAACAATAGCTTCCAGGAAGAGATTCATGAACCCTCTGTGGCAGTCACTGCCTTTTGAAACTGTTTGGAGGAGCATTAAAACTTGTAAGCATTCCCCCACAATAGCAACCGATTCTTTAGTCATGGATTTCTGTAACAAAAAATAACAAATTCTCAGAATAATCACTCTAGAACAAAAAAGGTTTAAATTGTGGAAAAGAATAGCAGGTGCACCATTAACATGTTTTGGATTATGGTGAGAATGACCCCAGCCAGCTCTCCAATAATGAATATAATGTGACTGTTGTCTTCCATAGAGCTACTTTTCAGTACAACGCTTTTCAGAACCTGCAACCCGATAGCCTGTACCTGTGCCCCAAAAGTGTTTAATTATCAGTCTCACACCTTTTAGTAAATAAAAGCAAGCATGTAGACCTGGACACTGAACACAAAAAAGTTTTAAATCACCTGTAAATTTGAGTCGGTTAGTATAGCAAGCATACAATCAGTGCAAAATTTAAACACTGAAAAATAGACGGGATCACTCTCTTTGTTGCCTTCCAGACATTGCATTTCATGCATTATCTTGAGTAACATAACTATCTGTTCAATAGAGAACGCAAGCTTCAATAGCAGTAGTTTGCGTAAGTCGGATCTCTTATTATGCAGTAGATGAATTCCTTCAATGCAATCCTTGGTCAAATCAGCAAGTTCATCTAGAGAAGTGCATAAAATATTTCTCAGGTGGTCAATGGCATCATCACCAAGATTAGAAGCATCTGCAATATAAGTTTCAATTAGCTTCCATGCACCAAAATACGAGTATACAGCCAAAACACGATAATCTCTGATATAAATGACAAAGAAATTAATCTAATCAAATTCTCACTCTTGAATGGCGTGTTTGCCCATCGTTATTCACCCCCAAAAAAGTACATAAGACCATGTACTCCGTTTTGAGAGGAATCAAATAAAAAGTGGCATTCAGAAATCAACCAGATGATTAATGTCAGCATCATAAGCACAGAAGGGTTTTTTATTCTTTTAATTATTCTTGATTTCGTGGGCTTACATATTCAACATGATTCTTCGAATGTCATTTGGATCATTCATCTTACTTCTAAACAATTTTCCCTTTTACCTAAAAAATTTACTGACATCATTGTTGGCTGCTACTTTGTTCCAATATAATTTTCCAATCTCAATCTTAAGATTTTGTAGAATCCCATATGATTGGAAGGCATGGACGTTTCCTGGTACATTGATTGTGATACAATAAAAATTCAAATATTGAAGCACAAAAATCATTTGTTGACGTAATATGATTTGAAACGTAGATCTTAGCCCAAGTAAGTTTTAAAAGATGACTAATGTTAAATTTCAATGAAATAACAGAAATACTCACCAACAAATCCAATGAATATTAGATATTAGTTTCAGATACATCAATTAAATCATCTTAATGATCTATTGAAGAAACAGAGATTACACGTTTAAAATATAGATGTGAAGAAACAGGAAAAATGCTCACCATCAATCAGTTTCTTCAACAAGGAATTCACACTCTTCACAACATCAGTAACTTTTGATAGGGATAGCTCAGTTGAAGCTTGTCTAATGAATTTGTAACCAATCAACATAAATGCCAGTGCTACTGAATTCAGTTGTTTCTGCATTTTTGACACAAATGTGTTTCAGTTGTGAGATGAGTAAGCAATTAAAAATAAAATAACCAATTAGTTCAATAATCCCAAGATAAATCTCGATAAAGAATCAAAAGTAAAAAACATGTGGCATAATAGAAATCAGAACAAATACACCAAACACACTTTTGGATGAAAACGCCTCATTATTGTCTTTGCAGCGAGAAATAGTGGAAATAATAAATCTTCCCAGCAGGCTTGATCAGATGAAACTGCACCAGCACTGAATGCAGTAAACAAGATAATTATTGCCAAAAGTAATTGTCAATGAATTTCACTAGCACATCTACTGAAATTACATAAATATCATGGTGAATTTTATACCATCTTAAAACCCTATAAAGGCAACCCAAACAAAGTTCCACGACCAGACAAGCAAAATTTTCTGCTTCAAGGAAATCTTCAGGGCAGTTGTGCACAATCTGCAGAAGCACACAGAAAATAAAACTCTCAGCACCAGCTCTATAATAATTCAAAATTTTCAACATATACAACTAATTTTTAAAAAACAAAAATCGAGAATTGCTTTTGCTAAAAAGGATCAAAACTCTGAAACCAGATAATAGAAGGGAATTATAGGATTAAATGGAAGGAAAACAGTAATTTGGGTAACTAAATGCAGGCTAAATGGGATAGCTAAATGCTACATCAAAGGGCAAGCATGATGGTAAAGAGATGGAAATTTAGCAAGGAAACATATTCTCAAAAGTCAAGCAACAGTAATGCAGTTGGCCACTAGCATAAAATGATCACAGGTTATTTCTGTTTGGTGAATGCTTGCTACATCAAAGGGCAAGGATGATGGTAAAGAGATGGAAATTTAGCAAGGAAACATATTCTCAAAAGTCAAGCAACTGTAATGCAGTTGGCCACTTGCATAAAATGATCACAGGTTATTTCTGTTTGGTGAATGCTTTACTCCCACAACTCCACAAGAACTAATAAATAAATAAATAAAATAAGGAAAAGGGCCAGTATGATCATAAAATTTGAAGCCAGAACTGGAATTGCTTTCACTTGAACCGAGGGATACCTGAGATAGAACAGATATCGCAAGGCTGTTCCATGAATTATCCATGTAGATAGAATAAGAGAAAACCTACATGGATTGGACATGACAAAATTAAGTCAAAGATAATTGCCAAACTCAATAGAAGGAGCCACCATAGCACAATGGTTAAACTGAGATCAGAGAAACCCAAAAAAATAAAAAAAAAAATTACCTTGCAATGCAGATTTAAAAGAGATTATTTTACACCTTCTGCATTCATATATAAACACTCTCTCTCGTGCACACACACACACACATATTCACATATTTGTTTTTTGCAACTTGGAATAAGGTATAGGGACATCAAAACTATTGCAGTCTAATCACTTTACATTTTTTATTTGGTGTAATTTGGTCCTTAAATTTTCACCATGGGATTAATTTGATTAAACATTTAGATGTCTACTAGTTGTCCTAATGAGGCTAATTTCATCAGACAATCTCAGTAAAATTGTTCATTCTTTTCATGTGGTTTTTCCTTTTCGTTTTGTCAGGGTTATACAGTTAGCCTTTTCCTTTTCTCACTAAAGATGTCATAGTCAAATCATAAATCAAGCCATTCAATCAATCTCAAAGGATTCTGTAGTCACCATCTAGAAGGTGCCCTTATTGGTAAACAACTATCAAACTCCTTACTTTCATCAACATTACCAAAATCAAATACCACCACCTTAGGTACCCACAAAAATAAGTCAAATAATTACACAATTTCTGCTTCAGATAGTAGTAACTCTCAGCAAATAATGAACTCAAAAGAGTATTATAGATTAAACTACTTGCATTGGTTTCCAAACCAATTTCAATCACAGATATTGCCACTTGAAAGCAAGATTATAGAATTAAAGAATGTCTTAGTTAACTTTAATATGTTTTCTAAGAATTTGAAGTGGGAAAACAAATAAATGCATCCCCTTAACTCCTATATAATCTAGAAACTGACAAAAACAGATAAAAAAACTATGAAAGCAGAATGAAACAAGGCACAGTGAACCCTAAGAAAAAGAAAAATAAACAGGAAATGAAAAGTGTGTGTGAGAGAGAAATCACCACCTGGAGCAGTTCTTCACAGATATTTACAGTAAGAAAACCAGCTGCAAAAAACTTCTGTGTCAAAAGAAACTGGAACACTGGCAAAACAATTTCATAAAATTTCAACCCTGGAGAAGTCATATCCTCAGCTGGAGGATCTCCATCATGTTTCGCCTTAGCTGAGGTTAATGGTATAACTTGTTTGCAAAGGGCAGGATGTTTTCCCTGGAATAGAACAAGCAACGCAAAGCCCCACAGAAACTGGTATTCTTCATATTCAAGTTCAACCATACTGTACCCAGATACTAAGCTGTCTGTTGACATACTTTCAGCAGCAGCTTCGGAATTTCCATTCCTATCAACATTCACAGGAACTGCATCTAGAGAAAGTGCTTGCAAAATAACGGGCCAAACTTCTTCCAAACAAGGCTGCAGCTGTGATGAGACCAGACGTGCTTGAATGGCATCAAAGAACGAATTCCACTACAAGTAAGCCAGAAAATGAAATGTTAAAAAAACTATATTTATTATATTTAAAGAAAAAATGCCAGTGTGTATATGTTTATGTACTCTACATCTTCCAAATTAACAGGTTCACAACCACTTCAGCTTACATTTCTTTTGAGATTTAGGTGCAAGCACACACAACTATAATCCTTCAAAAGTGAGATCCATTGCTTCCCCAGAATGCTTGAACTTCGTGAAAACAATGGTAATAATGCTAGATACTCATCAGGAACCACTGCTTGGTGTCTCCGCAAAAATGCATAAGTATAACACTTGAGAGAGGCATGAGCAGATAGAAGTCTTATCTTAATCTAACATAAGAAGTAAATTAGTAAGAGCTTCGTCTTTGTAAACAGCCCTACCACAAGGAAAAAATAATAAAGAGACGACCACCACTCTTTAGTAGTACTAACAATGTGAGACGGATCTTTTCTAGACAGCGAATTCATCATTCTGCAATCAGCATACCTTACATGAGACCCATTCTGCAAATGAAGGATAATATAGGTCCTTGAAGTCATCCAATGGGCGGGATAATAGTGAAAATATGCGTTTTACTGCAGCTTGGTCACCACTAATTATTCCACTTGTCATTATCTGAAATTGTAACATGTCACCACAACCATATTTATGTATAAAATATCATTTTGCAAATTTTAAACATATAAATGTGTCGAGAATATCTAAATTAAATATTAGATAGGATTAGTTTTAATTAGATAGAATCAGTTTTTATTCTATTAGTTATTAGATAGGATCATTTTTAATTAGATAGAATCAGTTTTTTATTCTATTAGTTATTAGATAGAATCATTTTTAATTAGATAGAATTATTTTTATTCTGTTGCTAATTTTATGCATCTTTTTATGTAAAGTTGTTACATTGTAAACTCTATTTAAGTCAGCCATATTCAGCAGAAATAAACACGATTTATTCGGAACAAGTTTTTCCGTCTTTATGGTATCAGAGCCAAAATGGCCAAACCCTACGATGATACCTCTGGTATCGACTCTATGAGTTCTACTCGCTCACCTTCAATCACCCTAAACACTGAATCCTTCCAAAACATATCCATCACTTCTCACAAGTTGAATGGAAATAATTTCTTACAGTGGTCACAATCTGTGAAACTGTTTATTCGTGGCCGTGGAAAATTCGGCTATCTCTCAGGTACCACTACAAAACCTGCCGAAGAAGATGAAGAATCTGAAAGATGGGAGGCAGAAAACTCGATGATTATGTCTTGGCTCATAAATTTCATAGATCCGAGTGTAGGGAGAACTTATCTCTTCCTACCTACTGCTCATGACATTTGGAATGCTGTGAACGAGACCCATTTTGATCTCGGGAACGCAGGACAATGGTTTGAACTAAAAACTCGGTTATTGAGGCTAAAACAAGGATAAAAAATTGTCACTCAATACTACACTGAACTCAAGACCTTGTGGCAAGAGGTTGACATGTTCAGCGACTACGAATGGAGTTGTGCTAAGGACAAGGCTCTATTCCAGAAGATGGTAGAAAAAGAACGCGTCTTCGAATTCCTTGTCGACCTTAACAAGGAATTGGATGAAGTCAGAGGGCGCATTCTTGGTCGTGAACCACTACCAAGCACAAGAGAAGTCTTCTCCGAAGTCAGACGAGAAGAGAGCCGGCAGACAGTCATGCTTGGAGGCCACTCACCAAATCCCACCGAGTCTTCTGCCTTGTTCTCGGGTCAGCCACCACGTCGCAACGATCGTCGGAACGACAGAGATCGGCCAATCTGCGAGCACTGCAACAAGCCGGGACACACTAAAGCCAAGTGTTGGAAGCTACACGGGAAGCCAGCCGAGAATTTTTCAGCCAATCGAAATTCTCGTAATGCAAAGGGATTCCATGCCTCATCTGAAGATGCTTCTGAAGAGCCGAAACTTGCCTCAGAACTGTCTGCCTTCAGCAAAGAACAGCTAGAGCAATTGTATCAACTAATGAGTTCTCATTTCATATCCAACACTCCTAACCCATCATCTTATATTGCCTCTTCATCATTAGCCCAGAAAGGTACATATCCTACAACTTTCATAACCGGTTCTAAATCAAACCCTTGGATCATAGATTCAGGGGCAACAGATCACATGACCGGTAATTCCTCCATATTCTCATCTTATTTTCCTTTATCTGGTAATCTGAAGGTAAAAATTGCTGATGGCTCCCTAACCTCTATAGCTGGAAAAGGCTCTATCATTATTTCTCCATCTCTCACATTACTAAATGTCCTACATGTCCCAAAGCTCTCTTGCAATCTCATCTCTGTTAATCGTATTATTCATGATTGCAAATGCATTGCTACAATAACATTTGCTGGATTTGAATTTTAGGACCCTTGTTCGGGGAAGATGATTGGCAATGCTAAGGAGGTTGATGGACTCTATCACTTGGTCACGGACAATCCTTCAGATAAACAAGTTCAGAAACCGAGATGCTCTACTACCTTGTCTTGTGAGAATGAAATAATGTTGTGGCATTATAGGTTAGGCCATCCTAGTTTTAATTACTTGAAATATTTGTTTCCAAATCTTTTCAAAAAAAAGGACGGTTTTTCTTTTCAGTGTGAAGCTTGTGAATTGGCAAAACATCATAGATCTGTTTATCCATCTTTAAAGTATATGCCATCAAAACCTTTTTCTCTTGTGCATAGTGATATTTGGGGCCCTTCACGAGTAAAAACAGCCTCAGGATCTAGATGGTTCATCACATTCATTGATGATCACACTAGAGTCACGTGGATTTATTTACTAAAAGAAAAATCCGATGCAGCAAGTGTTTTCAAAAATTTTCACTCACTGATCAATACTCAGTTTCAAGCAAATATTCAAGTTCTTAGAACCGATAATGGTCGAGAATATTTTAATGCAATCTTAGGTATTTTTTGAAACAAAAAGGAATTATTCATCACAGTTCTTGCGTTGATACTCCCCAACAAAATGGAGTTGTTGAAAGAAAAAATAGGCATTTATTAGAGGTGACTAGGACTTTATTGTTTGCTATGAATGTTCCTAATCGTTTTTGGAATGAAGCACTCTTAACAGCGTCTTATTTGATAAATCGAATGCCTACAAGAGTTCTTAATTATATTACTCCTTTGCAAGCTCTAAAGAATATGTTTCCTGAAAATAGATCTTTCATTGATTTAACACCTAAAATTTTTGGTTGCATTGCTTTTGTTCATATACACGACCAAAATAGAGGAAAACTCGATCCCCGAGCACATAAATACATATGTCTAGTTTTTTCACCAACACAAAAAGGGTATAAATGCTTTGATCCTAAATCTGGGAAGTATTATGTGAGTATGGATGTCACGTTTTTTGAAAAACAACCTTTTTTTGACAAAAACTCTCTTCCAGGGGAGAATGACTCTGAAATAAGTTTTTGGGAACAAACATCCTTGCCAAAATCGATTGTAAATAGCTCAGTGGAACCAATTCATATTTCCGTAACTAATCCTAGGATTTCACAACCTATAAATTCACAACCTCGTGAGACTCAGGTAAAAACCAACTTGGAACCACCTACTGAACTTCGTGTTTATTCTAGACGGATGACTCGACCAAGTAATGTTCCACCGGCCCCCAAGGTATGCCAACCATCGGACTCGACTATGGTCCAAGGTACGACTTCTCTTTCTCCTATTTCTTCTCCAAATTTAGAGCCTTCTACAGAATTCTTTGAACCCATAGCCTTGCGCAAAGGTGTTAGATCATGTACCACAAAACATCCAATATCCAATTTCTTATCTTATAATAAACTCTCTCCAGATTTCAAAGCTTTTTCCACCAGGATTATGGATGATGCACTACCTAAGTCGATACATGAAGCTCTAGAAGTTCCGAGATGGAGAGAGGCAGTTTTTGAGGAGTTAAAGGCCCTGAAGAAGAATGACACGTGGGATCTAACTCCTTTACCTGAGGGGAAACGATCTGTAGGCAGCAAGTGGGTGTTCACCATCAAATACCATGCAGATGGCTCGGTCGAGAGATACAAGGCAAGACTCGTAGCACGAGGCTTCACTCAGACATACGGCCTTGACTACGAGGAGACCTTCGCACCTGTGGCCAAACTAAACACCGTACGTGTCCTACTCTCACTAGCCGCCAATCTGGATTGGACTCTCAGACAGTTTGATGTGAAGAATGCGTTCCTAAACACAATAATGGTAAAATTGCTATTTTAATTGTATGTAGATGACATTGTTATGACAGGAGATGACACAGTAGAGTTGGAGTCGTTGAAAAACTTCTTATCCAACCAGTTTGAAGTCAAGGATCTAGGACAACTCAAATATTTCCTTGGAATGGAGGTGGCTAGATCCTCGAAAGGTATAATTATATTGCAAAGGAAATATGTCCTCGATATCTTGAAAGAGACCGGATTACTCGGATGTAAACCAGTGGCGACTCCTATTGATCCGAATCAAAAACTCGAAAAAGAAGATGGTGTTGAGCCTGTGGACAAGAATCGGTATCAGAAGCTGGTGGGGAAACTGATTTATTTGGCTCATACGAGACCAGATATTGCATTTGTTGTGAGCTTGGTTAGTCAGTTTATGCATTGTCCCTCAGAAAAACACTCCAAGGCTGTTTACCGGATTCTTCATTACTTGAAAGGGAGTCCTGGTAAAGGAATCATGTTTTTGAAGAATGGAAGTCGAAGAGTGGAGATCTTCACTGATGCTGATTGGGGCGGAAGTTCTACAGACAGAAGATCTACTACCGGTTATTGCTCCTTTGTCTGGGGCAACTTAGTTACTTGGAGGAGCAAGAAGCAACCAGTTGTCTCTAGAAGCAGTGCGGAGGCCGAGTTCAGAGCCATGGCGCAAGGAGTATGTGAGTTGTTATGGCTTAGGAGGATCTTGGAGGAGCTAAAGGTTGAAGGAGATAAACCGATGAAGTTGTATTGCGACAACAAATCGGCAATCAGTATTGCTCAGAATCCTGTACAGCATAACAGGACCAAACATGTCGAAATAGATCGACATTTCATCAAGGAGAGGCTGGAAAATGGCGATATCTGCATACCGTTTGTTCCATCATCAGAGCAGCTCGCCGATGTTCTCACCAAGGGACTGTTTACTACGATGTTCGAAGGATTTCTGTCCAAGCTGGGAATGATCGATATCTATTCTCCAGCTTGAGGGGGGTGTCGAGAATATCTAAATTAAATATTAGATAGGATCAGTTTTAATTAGATAGAATCAATTTTTATTCTATTAGTTATTAGATAGGATCATTTTTAATTAGATAGAATCAGTTTTTTATTCTATTAGTTATTAGATAGGATCATTTTTAATTAGATAGAATCATTTTTATTCTGTTGCTAATTTTATGCATCTTTTTATGTAAAGTTGTTACATTGTAAACTCTATTTAAGTCAGCCATATTCAGCAGAAATAAACACGATTTATTCGGAACAAGTTTTTCCGTCTTTAAAATGCTCTCACCTTAGTAGCCAGCAGCAGACCTGCCTCCAAAAGAACAGGACCGGATGATGTGTCCAGTGCAGTGCGAACAGCGGAAATTAGTTGTGCCTAAAGTTCATGAAAATTTCAATAATTACTAATCCATTGCACGATACAAATCACACTAAGATCTGACATTCTTAGAAAATATTCTAATACACAACAGATGCATCAGCTTACTTGATACTGTTCCAGTAGAAAATGTCCTGGAAGCTCCGGATCAGGAACTGTTTCAAACTGAAATACAGAGCCAAAAAAACGAAACAAATTAACATTGTCCAATACTCCAATATTTAGCATTCAATATCTTATCCCTCAGACATCCTTAAAATTTGAATCCAAGATAAAAATGAAAAGTTATAAGTTGTATTCGCATCCATTCCTACTTTTCTTAGACGGGGACTCTTCAAAAGTTAATGCAATATATATATATATATAATGTCTCTAAAATAAAGTTGGTATATTACGTGGTCAGCAAAATAAAATGTAATTATTGAATATTTACGAAGTTTAATGTATTTACTTTATGCCATTAAAATATTTATTCAAGATCTCAAATAAGTAATGAAAACTACCTTAATAAATGTTAGAACTAGCATTCCCCATACTAACCTTGTCTACAACTGAACTTAGAAGTCCAACACCAATTGGCCGCATATTTTCAAACTGAATTGTACTTATCTATGAGAAATAACTCAGAGAAAAATAAGTGTCAGCTTTCAATCAAATTTCATGACTTTAAGAGACAAGATTTCTATAAACTAACAATTTTTTATTTAGAACCTGATAAGCAACCGATATTAGCTCTTGAACTTTGAGGACTAGCCAATCACCAGAGGCTTGTTCATTTGCAACTTTTCTCCTCGCTAGAGAGAGGTCAAAATGAGCAGGATTCTTGCCCACAGCTTCAGGCAGATAACTCAAGCACCTATAAACCAGAAAGATATTTAACTAAGAAAACCTTAATACTGATAAAGACAGCCTATAAGAAATAAAAACGACATTTTTTTTAATATATTACACATGCCTGCATTTTATGCATTTAATATGCCTACATGTTCAGGTTTGGTTTAAAGTTAAGGCTGAGATTACAACTTTAAAAAAATTTCCCATAGAAATCATATCATTTGGATTCCATGAAGAAATAAAAGAACTGTAGAAGATAAATTCTACTTCAATAGATTTTACAATGTGACGGCTTAAAGGCAACAGAATAAATTCCATTTTGAAGTATTTTAACAAATCCCAAGTATTATTCATCCACTAAATACATTATTTTCATTCAATATAAACATAAATCGAGCATGCCAGAAGAAATTCTGCAAGCATAAATTTTTTATAACTGAATATCTTTCAAAAGCTTTTCCTAGATATATTGTTTTGAACATCTAGAAGAAGAATTACATGCCAACAACCGTATGGTCAGTTTAGGGGTGAGCAAAACTCGACTCGACTCGAAAAACCGAATTTTTCGACTCAAAAAACTCGACTCGAATTGACTTTAAGTTGTAATTTCATAAACTCGATTCGAAAAAATTTCAAGTTCAAATCGATATGTAAAATGCAACTCGAATAACTCAAAATTTTTAGTAATCAGTGGATTTATTTTCAACTTTGAGTCCATGGACTTTGTATGATATATGTATATCTCGTATGAAAAAAAATATGAAGAAATATATTTGTATTGTATATATGGTTATAGAAAGTCACTTAAATTGGAATCAAATAATAATATAATATTATAAATATTTACAATTAAATTTAAATAGAAACTCGAAAAATCGACTCAACTCCACTCGATTCGAATTTTATAAACTAGACTCGAAAAAATTTCAAATCAAGTCCGAGTTGTAAAATAGGACTCATCAACTCGAATAATTCGAAATTTTTTTACTCGACTCGATCGAACGCTCACCCCTAGGTCAGTTGGTACAATGTTGAACTATTGGTCAGGGTTCAATCCCTGGCAACCTTTTCAACTGCCAAAAAAAAAGCAGTACAGAAAAACAAGCAGAAGTAGAGCGAAATCAGTTACTTGATTCATTGACAATCATAACCTGTGACGGGGAAAAGTTAGCAAAATGTAAAACGCAGAGATAAAGAAGAATCACATACTCAGCAGCAAAAACTCTGGTTCGGTATCTGAGGTGCTTATCTCTATTACGACCAATAATAGAAGTTTCAAATGCATGACCTTGAACTGATATGTTCTTTGACTCAGAGACCATGTTTTCATCATCATCTCCAAAATTTAATCTTGAGTCACCATCTGGACCACTAGTAGAATCATTTCCAGAACTAATCTCAGCAGTTGCTCTTGTTGACATAGCAAGGACCTGATCAAAGCTGAAAAATTGAATTTTTCTGGTACTTTATGCAAACAACTCCAAACAAGAACGAAAGATTGTCTAAACAACTCAATAGCTTTCCATGCTCCAAAGAAATAACAGTCATTCAGCATGTCAAAAACTCTTAGCAAATATCATCATTCAGCACAACTGTGCATAAGCATGCAAGACACCTTTTCTTCTTTACCCTTTTCAACTAACATCCAACTCACCGTCACCAGAATCTTTAAATTTGGCTCCAACACTTACACGGAAAAAAATCTTTTTTTTTTCGTTTTTCGAAAAGGGACCACATAACTCGTGATAACAGAAATATCTCCCACAAGAAAATGATACCATGTTGAATAAGACGATCTTCAAATGATAATATGACACCTTCCCCATACACATTTTGATGATCTATATCAAAATCCAAGAAGAAAACTCCAAATAGAAGAAACTACTCTAAAGAGGATTCCACAAGCATCATACGTATTAAATGAATAGAAAAAATGGCAATGCCCCCCCTGTAACTGGGAAAACATCCTTTTAAATTCAAGAAGTACCGCATAAACTGAACACAGAATGCATTTCGAGGTGACGTGCCAAAATAGTTGGAAAAGCAAAGAACTCACCATGTTACGACAAATTGATATCCATCGGGAAGGACATGAAGGGCAAGACGCATAAAGCAGTCGCATGATTGTACCACGGATTAAATTCCCTATCCTACAAAAATGATAATAGTAAAATAAAATTAATGAAGCAACTGAAAGACCAAGCATTTACGAAAAGAGATACTATTTAGCAATGGCATTGAAGCCAACTATTGTCCCACCCATGCTCTCTTTTCTTTTCTTGCTTCTTTGCCCAAAACCATGAATAAATAAATGATACAAGCATGCAGGCTCTCTCGAACACAACACAAAAATAAGAGTTAGACAATCTATCTATTCCAAGAATAAGTAGAAATTTCAGGAAGCCTCATCAACACAGCTTTACAATTGAAAGTGATACTATCACCTTATATTTGTGAGAGAGATCGAGAGAGAGGAAAAAAGATGTCTTGATAGATAGACATAAAAATAAAGGAAAAAAGAGGAAGGAATTTTGAGGATAAACTTGCCGCGGTGGAAAGATATTAATTTCCTCTTGTTGCAAGGGTAACTTGTCAAGGACCAAAATCTACATGGCATTATGACTGAATGGTACTATAACTTTTTAAGAAAATAACAAAACGGTCAAATGAACATTAAGAATCATTAAACAAAATTAAGGAAAAGAACAGTGAATTAAATGATATGTTAGATCAAGTAACACTTCATCATTGAAATTTTTTTTATAGGAATTAGGCCTCATTAAAAAACCCCTTCATAACTATTGAGTTTCGTAAAACTCCATAGTCATTGGAAGGGGGAAAAGAGTGCCCAGAATTTTATTGCCAAACATAAGAAATACAAACCAAACAATCCAAAGACATCCATTACAACAACCCACCACCCCCATTCTCATCAATCCTCAACCTAACCTCTCACTAACCTATTCCTGATTTAGCTAAACAGTCAACTTCCCCATTAATACATCAGTTAACATGTCTAGTAATGACATTAAAATGCAACACAATCTTCTGAATATTTCTGGCCAAATCAACATAGGTAACTGGGCTAAGATCCGGATTGTTGATCCACTTCAAAGCAAGAGAGGAATCACTCTCTAAAATCATAATCCCCTTGTCCCTCCAAAACGAATCAATAAATAATTCTAACCCTGCTTTGATCGCAAAAATCTCTGCAAGAGTCGGAGGGCAAGGTCTTGTCGCTCTAGAGAAAAAAAACAACCTCTTGTTATCAACATCCCTTACGACTCCTCCAATACCACTGCTTCTCCAGTCAAAATTAACAGCCCCATCAACATTCATCTTAAAAAAACCCGGTGGTGGAGGACACCACTTTAACTTTGATATACCAATTTTAGAAGGGGATCTATGCACATCTACCAAGGTTAAGTCACCCACAAGGTTGTCAACATGTATAGAGAATTCACTGTTTTTAGCCAAAAACCATGAAGCCACCCTATACACAACCAGAAAAAATAAATTAGCTTTATCCATCTTGCCATTCTCGAACAATATCTGATTCCTGTAATTCCAGAATGTCCACAAAACGGCACCCGATAGAAATTTCCAAATAACCGAATTAGGCCTCAACTCCAACCATGAAAGCAAAAACAGTTCTTAGAGCAGGAGTTTTCTGAGGAGGAAGTTTGGGATGTTGTGAAGTCTTGTGGTAGTAACAAAGCTCCGGGTCCTGATGGTTTTAATCTGGGATTTTTCAAGAGGTTTTGGCAGGTCCTTAAGGTAGATATTATGAAATTCTTTCATAATTTTTACTTGGGGAAAGAATGGGAACATGGAGTAAATCACACATTCATCACTCTTATTCCAAAGATTTCAAACATTGGTGGTCTGGACGATTTTAGACCTATAAGCTTAGTTGGTGGATTGTATAAGATACTCTCTAAATGTCTGTCAAGAAGACTTAGGAGTTGCATTTCAGATTTGATCAGTCCAAGTCAATTCGCTTTTATCCCCGGTCGGCAAATCCTGGACTGTTCTCTTATAGCCAATGAAGGGATTGACTTTTGGAGGAAGAATGGTTTAAAAGGTTGTGTTTTTAAGGCTGATTTCAAGAAGGCATATGATACTCTTGACTGGCCTATTTTGTTCAGAATAATGAAGGAAATGGGCTTTGGTTCTAGATGGATAGGTTGGATTTCGAAATGTATCACATCAGCAACTGTTTCAGTTTTGGTGAATGGGGTTCCTACCGAAGAAATTCCAATGGCGAAGGGTCTTCGACAGGGTTGTTCCTTGTCTCCATTGTTGTTCAATATAGTTGGGGAACTCTTGAACTTATTAATACTTAAGGTTGTTTCAGGAGGGCTTTTTTCAGGTTTGGTCATTAGAAAAGAGGAGAGGAATTTTAATTTAACTCATCTGCAATTTGCTGACGACCTTATTATGTTCTGTGGTGCGTCGAAAAAACAGATCTTGAATGTAAAGAGGGAGCTTCAAGTGTTTGAGATTATTTCTGGTCCTTGAAGAAGTGTAAATTATTTGGGGTGAACTTAAAGGAAGAGGAAATTAAGGATTGGGCAGCTATGATTGGATATTCAGTGGGTTCTTTTCCCTCAGAATATTTGGGACTCCCTCTAGGTCCACATAGGAACTCCAACATTCTATGGGATCCAGTGGTTCAAAGCTTTAATAAGAGGTTAACGGGCTGGAAAGGCTCCTCTCTGTCACTGGCAGGTAGGCTAGTTCTAATTAAATCAGTCCTAAGCTCACTCCCTATATATTTTTTGTCAATGTTCAAGGTTCCAGCTTCAGTTTACAAGAATCTAAATTCTATTATGTCAACTTTTTTATGGGGTGGTGGAGATGAGAAAAAGAAGATCCATTGGGTAAGCTGGTCCGACGTTTGTAAACCAAAAATTGAAGGTGGCTTGGGGGTTCCTAATTTAAATGTGGTGAATAGGGCACTTTTGGAAAAGTGGGCTTGGAGGTTTGCTATTGAGAGGGAGGAGGTTTGGAGGGAAATGCTCTGCATCAAATATAAATTGGACCCTTCCGTGATGCAGTTCGACAGTAAAGTTTCTCCTAAATTTTCTTGGATGTGGAGAGCTATGGTGAGTAATCATTATAAAGCTGATTCGTTGGGTTGTAGTATCAGAGGTAAATATAGCTATATAATTGGCAATGGGAGGAACATTCGGTTTTGGCAAGACAATTGGGCAATAGATCATCCTTTGATGGTATTGTTCCTTAGACTATTCTCTATTGCAGTGAACAAAGAAGGAAGATTATTTCAGTTTGGGGAGTTCAGTTCAGGGGGCTGGTTTTGGAACGTTCAGCTGAGGAGAGTTGAATGATTGGGAATTTGAGCAATGGGCAAATTTGATGGTTGTTATCTCTGATTTTTCTATTTCTGCTGATGCTGCTGATGGACTGGTTTGGAAGGGGACTGGAGAAGGGGTTTTCACTGTGAAATCATGTGTCAATCTATCTTATTCGGGTTCTACCGATTCGGAGGAAGCTAAATTTTGGAAGTCTATTGTTTGGAGTTGCCTCCAAGAGTAGAGACTTTTCTTTGGCAAGTTATCTTAAAGAAGTTGGCAGTGAAGGCAGCTCTGGTTAAGAGAGGTGTTCAGGGCATAAATGATACTTTGTGTTCTTTTTGTAATCTTGAAGAAGAGTCTTCATCGCATTTATTTTTTTCCTGTCCGGTTGTTTGGCCAATTTGGATGAAATTCTTGGGCTATTGGAATTTTCAGTCTGTTTTTCATGCAGATGCTAAAAGATTCCTATTGGCTTGGAATGACTTGAAGACCAACTCTATTATCTAGTCATTTATCCCTGGAGCTGTTTTACGGACAATTTGGAAGATCAGGAATTTTATAGTGTTTGAAGGAGGGAAGCTTGATCGAGCAGAGATTTTCTTTCTAGCAAGGTGCAGGCTTGCTTCATGGTTTCTAGCTAAGGAAACTCATATTACTATTTCCAAGGATGACCTTATTGTTGATCCTTCCTTAGTGGATTCCTACTCGTCCCATTCTAATCGGATTTCAACCACGTTTCTTTGGTCCCCTCCTCCAAAGGGTTTTATTAAACTTAATGTGGATGCGGCTATTTCGAGTGATTGGAAGAGGAGTGGTTTAGGTGGTATTTTGAAAGACATGTCTGGTTCGATTCTTGGCTCCTTCAAAGAGCCTGCTGGTACGGGGCCCCCAACTTTAATGGAATTGAAGGCTATCCTAAAGGGTTTAGATTTTTATGAATCTATTCGCCATAGGTTTAAAGATAGATTGATTATTGAGAGTGATAGTAAGGTGGCAATTGGCTGGGTTAAGGATGTGGTTTCTTGTCCTGTTGTTTATGTTCAAATTGTTAAAGACATTATTCAAAAGCTTAGTGTTTATGAAGGTTTTATTAGTTGGGTTAGTAGGACAGCCAATATAGAGGCGGATGTCCTAGCTAAGGCTGGTATTGGTTGAATTATGTTCTGTTAAGGGCTGTTTCTTTCTGGTTTTGCATCTCTTGAGGGAGATTAGTTTGTATTACTTTGTTGTTTTTGCGGTTAATGAAATCCTAGGGCACTCTTTTCCTTCTTTTGCGGATTAAGGAGCTAATTTTAAGTTCCGTTAATCACGAAGGGGTTTTTTTGAGGCCTACTATTCCTATAAAAAAAACCCTTTAGGATTATTGGGCAGAACCGAAAATACATTCCACATTTGAAGGAATTTTACCCAAATCTCCCAAACTTGTTTACAGGAAAAGAACAAGTGACTCACCGATTCAGGCTCCAATCCACAGAACGTGCATTTCGAATTCTCAATACCTTTTACACCTCTGCTTAGTAAAACAGTCTTGACTGCCAACTTCTGGTGAATAATTTGCCAAAGAAAGACCTCAACTTTAGGAGGAACTAACCCCCTCCACACAATCTCAGACCAAGAAGCATCTGACTCGGATAAGCTTGAAATTAATCTAATGCAGCACTAAACCGAGAACACTCCATCCCCATTTCCTTTCCAAGCATAACAATCTTCACCCTTCAACAACATACGAAATTTATTCAACAAAAGCATCAGATCCATCCATTGAACAAATTCATTGTCCATTAAATTTCACCCGAGCTGAAAATCCCACACCCACTCCCCATTACTAATAC